TTATCTTAGTGGATATAGTGTTATAATTGCACTGGGGTTGGTATTGTTGCTAAATACCTGAGTACCCTACCCTTACACTTTCTTTACTGTTCCGACGGGAAAATTATGGTACACCTATTAAAAAATTCTGTTTATTATGAATTCTACCCGCACCTAACATCTTGATAGTTTGTTGAGTCAAAGTGTGCAATATTAACAACATAAACATAGTAAGTGCGTCTTCCAGTAATTCGCTTTTATTGCCCTGGATTCGCTGAACTGTCCATGCCCTCCCAGTTTTCAAGGCAAACTAGTTTCTGTGCATCATTGGATGTCCAAAACTGATTTCAAAGGGTTCTGACACTTTGAATGTGTCCTCTGTTGAGCACGGCCCCATATTCAACAGTACGGCTACCTATACTGGTGTTCACATCTGCCACGGGTTAGTAGTACCAGTAATGATGGCCTCCCAAATTATTATGGTGTCCATAGCTTGTCATAAACTTATTATCGACATCAATATCTGACAGGTTTTATCAAATCAAATATGACCTCCCTGTTGTAGTACCTTGTTGTAGTAGAGGCTCCCTTATTTCGAATTCTGTACAGCAAACATGTGACACACATACATATTTAGTTACTTACTGAGTATGATGAGTGATTCGGGTTTCCATGTCGTGATAAGCATCCCGTACCGTCATTGGTATCACTTGGCTTGGGTCCCATATATGGTCGTATGGTCAGTAATTGGGGTTCACGATTCGGAATGAATCCTATATGGCCAGTGGCACAGTTTTTCATGTTTTGGTATGGTTCAGGTGTGGGCATAGAACGAATCCCTCAATCTGTTCCTGGTATTGTTTGACCACTTGTAAGGTTTCAAATTCCATAATTGTTTTCACCAGCTGTTCGACAGTTTTTTATCGCCCATAGCTAAAACGTTTGATACGCAAATGCAGACATACTACAAGAGTTATATTCGCAAGGATACATGCTTATATCGGGCTCTGGGCATCTCTGACATCCCATGACGAGCCACCATACACCATATACTGGGTCTGACCGTGGTGGGGTAGAGTGGACAAACTCACACAAATAGCGATGTCTTGAAGTA